CTGGGAGCAGCGTGTGTAACACTTGCTCCCCTCCTTTCCAGCATAAAGGCAAGAAAGTGAGAAATCTCTGCCCCCCTTTTTAACCAGTGGCAGCTGGATGAACTGTGATTAGAATGTTAATGAAAGAAAATAACCTCAAACCCTGATGCCTGAAGACAGCTTTCCCCCCAATACTCCACAATTGAGATCAATCATACTTTTAGAGTTCAGATGTAATGCTAAATTCTGGTGAGTCTAAAACTGGAGACAAAAAGAAACGACTGGAGGTGCACAGGCTTATGCATATAACGCTAGACCTCACGCTTAGAGCAGCCTTCAAAAAATTAGAGCCTTGGGACAAAGTTTTGAGAATTCTACTAGCTCCCACACTGCAAACAGGATCTGCACTTTATTTTCTTCACGTTAGAAGCCTGTCAGAGTTGATTCAGTTTCACTGCTGCGGGAATGTAACAAGATGCTTACCCCGTGCTTCTGTATCAAAACCCACCCCTTGTTTCCCCAGGGCCCAATTCCTTCCTACAATAATTTTTACATATTGCTCTACTGCTAAGTTTGTTGGTGCTGTTCTGCTGCGTTACTAGATAAATTAAGCAGATGTATTATATTACTAGGCAAACTGTTATTTAATCTTCATTAATGGATCAGTTATTGTGATGGGACATGGTAGTAAACGGCACTAACATTTTAGTGTGGATACTTCTGAATCGTTTATACTTTTTGAATCAGCCCGGAAGGAAAATATCAAGCAAAAGAAGCCACTCATTTTTCAGACGTGAAGGCGTATTTTAAGAATACTCACATGTGTGGGTCTCTGCATCTCCATTTATTTTCATGGTGCTCATACACATGAACTGCTGGTTTTAGGCACTTCATTGTAAATTTAGTGTTATCCACCTAACACAGAACAGGAAACAAGGGTGTATTTGTTATGACAATGCATTAAAATGGAGTGTGTGAACAGTGAGCGCCTAGTTTATTGCTATTCAGGGATCTCTAGGTGTGACAGCTGGTTAACATAGGAATAAGGCGGCTTGCTGTCATTTCCAAAACAATTTTCAGGCAGAGGCTGTCCGTTCTGAAAAGAAATGAGCGTCTTCTACCTTACATCAAAAGAGCATGAAAAAAAATAAGGGTCTGAACTGCTTCAATATAGATTTCTCATTTGAAAGTAAAAGTATGTGGCAGAATTCTTGGATAATCAACTCTGTAATTTTCTTCTTAATGCATATGACTAGGTCGGAGAGATTTGGGCTGAGTTGACAGTTCCCAGCCCCCTCTGGGGTTAGACCACTCTTGAAGCAAGTCACGGAAGAAACTAACTGTGACCACGTTCAGCAAAAAAGAATGCTCACGTACCATTATGAGGGCCGTGTCACTGAAGTTTTCTGCAATCCTGGAGGCGACCTTTTCAGCCAGCAGGTTTGGACTACAAAACAAAGAGAAGTTGCCTGTATAATCTGGCTCGGAGTCACATCAATCAAGATAAAGAACGAACTTGATCAGAGAGGATGGAACAAGCCAGTAAGGGGATAGATCCTGGGTTCAGTTAAACTTGACGGAAGAAACAACTACAGGGGTAACGTTTTTTTCCCTCTCATCAACAGCGGATATGGATAATTCTCAACCGTAGAATTAAAGAGTCCCAAACTATTTTCTGTAGTCTCCCCTTACCGTTCTCTAGAGCGGTGCTTCTCAACCTTGGCCGCTTGAAGCTGTGTGGACTTCAACTCCCAGAATTCCCCAGCCAGCCATGCCAAGGTTGAGAAGCACCGCTCTAGAACCCTAACCCCATTTCTCCAACTGCTTAACTTGTGTAACACAAAGCACAAGCAGCTCTGAAGAAATAGGGAAGGATTCTTCTGCAAAAGAGGGATTAAATAAAGGATAAGGAAGAAACACAGCTACACACCTGGCATCCTTCACACGTTCATTTGCTTGATAGTAGCCAGCTATTACATAGCTGTTCTCCCTGCACCAAGAATCAATCTGAAGAAGATCATTGGAAAAAAAAAAAACTGTAAGAGCCCAAATGCAATCAAGGCACAGACTAAAACAGCAGAGGTTTGCAGCAGGCAATTCAATTCAAGCAGCAGCCTGATACCCATTTCCTTGATGGTTATTTCACACTGACTTATCCTTTGACACCTGTGGTCAGGACATGCGGAAAGCTGCTAGAACAATGGAGAAGATGAAACAACCGCCAATTGGTTTTAACCTGCCAGACGTCTGAAAGGTGTGCCCTGTATACAAAACATTATTTTGTCAAGCTTCTTAGGCAGGGCTTTAACTTTGTGATAAATTATATTATAACCTTTATTTTGCTAATGATAATCAGCCAACTGCTGCAGAGAGACAGGTTACACATCTTACAAATGTGTTTTCTGAACTAGCGGGTCTAAGGAAATATATAGTGTACAGTAATGTGCAACAAACTTAGGATTTTGATGCTCATCTTGTTCACTGGAAGGGAATGCCATGGGATGTCAACCGTCTTTCATTTGCTATCTTGCTATCAGCGCAGCGGATAGAGAGATCTAGGATCAAATACCATGTCTGCCACAATATCTCCACATTTTTGTTCAAACTGTTCCCTTAGTCTTAGTTTACCATCTGCAAATGCAGAGTGACCTAGTACATCAGAGGGTGACTGTGAGGACAAACAGAGCAGATACCATGAATGACATTTCCAGGTGAGAAATACTCTAACTGAACCAGCTATAGCCACAGTATTTTCATTATCCATCCTCAGTTCTCTGGGGCTGACGTAGGGACTAATCAGAGGAAGGAGTTCTTCCTCATGTTTTGAGAGAGAGGCAGCACACAGGGGAAGGGAACCCTTCTTCTTCTTCCTCTGATCACTTCATGGAAAATGGAAGGAAAGGCTGATCCAAGAGAGAACAGCTGAACAGAGCAAGAGAAACAGACAGAGGGCTCAAGCAGGAACAAAGGAACCACTTAACCCCCATCTTCCATCTATAATTCCTTCAACAATATGGAGAGGTGGGTCAGCACAGGCTGAACTTGGGGAGGAGAAGGCTCCAGAAAGCACTCTGTTAATTCCATTCTGAGTGGCCCACATCCAAGCTGGATGACAGGGCTATCAGCTTTAAGGAAACCCTGACAGTCAAGATCTGGAGATAAAGGCCCAGAGATGTCTTCTTCCTCCCACTCGGCACTTTAATTATTGTCAGCATTTGTATAAAACTCATTGGGTTTTTTTTATCATAATGTATCATCTAATCTGCCATAAAGCTTTATTAAAATACTTAGAATTAAATGTTAGGATGCACGATCTGACCTGAATGCATTTATCCAAACTCAGATTTTGGTCCTGCTTGATAGCTTTGAACCTGCTATATTTACTTCTCATAATGAGATTATCTGATTAAGATAATCCAGTGATTTAGGGAAGTAAAAAAACTACCTAGCAATTATTTATATTCTGGCTATATTTAAAAAAAAAGGATTCCCAAACATTTTGCATTCTGACCTCCTGTTTCTCAAACACATCAATCTCATTGTTTAGCAGCATAATTCCATCCCCAAATTAAACTGTCTAAAAGCTTTGCAAATAATCTTTTCCAATGAAATGATGTAGATGTGTTTTGTTAAGCTCTCATTTAGTACCACTGTTAAAGAGCCACCTGCCATCACAATCATAATGGTTTGTAAGGCCTTAAATTTGTTGTTGGAATAGCCTGCAAGTTGAGATTCTGCAGCTAAAAACTAAACACACAAACAGAATGTGTTTTCATAGTAAGGAGCAGGCCTGAAATATTCTTTGATCACTCTTTGGCAAGGGCAGGCTTATAATGGTTTTCAAATCTAGGACCACTTTGCATTTTTGGTTAACAAGTTATTCTTAAGGATCCATGTCTATTGATAATAACCCTACAGGAACAGAATGCAAGCAGTAACTTTTTGTTGGATCGAATCAGTACTTGGTGAAGAGCCGCCCATTTTCAATATTTTATCTGCTGAATTGCTATTATTTGTTGAATTGCAGTCTTATGCCTTGTGAGTTTGGGCCAGATGGATAGCTAGGCCTGCCAGACCCAGGTCAACAGTACATTTCACTTCTCATTATATCTACTGCCGATCTACAAATAAAGCTGTCAAATCTGATTACTGCTGAGGAGAACAGCAAGAATAAAAAGTTGCCCAAAGATAGATCAGTGCCTTGATCAAGACATAATGCACTATCCCTAATTAAGTCTCTCCAATCTGCCCTAAGTCCCACTCAGCAAACCACACCGATTTACTAATTGATTCAGCTCTGTCCGTTTCCAATTCAGCTGGAAACAGACAAATCCAATTGCTTCATAATTAGTTTGTATGTGGACCTGCAACACTGTCCAGGTTCTACAGCAGCTGTATTTTCAATCCCACCAGGTAGAAATTCAAGCCTAATTTTGCAGACAGTTTCGCTTGCAAAAAAGACAAGACTGCATTCATTTGTTTAACTTCAGGCCTCGCTTTGCTTGGCAAAGGAATGTCTGAAGTTTGACAATAAAGCTACACTGTTTAACAGGAAGGTGTTTGCTGGCGTTTTTCAGTGAGTCTCACTGGATACAGGAAGAAAATGTCATTTTCCAAGTACTTCCATCTACAGCCGACCTACAAAGCCCAGCAACATCTTGTGAGTCCCCCACTCGTGAAGCCCCTGGGGTTTGGGCAAGACAGCAGGCCTTTTCTGCAGCACTGCCCCCCATGTTGGGGAACTTGCTCCCCTCCTCTGAGGTCTGTGCAGCACCTTCCCTCCTGACATGTCACAAAGCTGCCCAAACAGCTTCATTCCATGGGTTTTTAATCCCATTGGACTGCCTCATCTGTGGAGCCCTTAGTGCTCTCTGAGCTTGGCTGTTGGCTTGCAGAGGCTTCATTACCCAGCTAGGTAGCATCATCAGGGTGAGTGAGTATGGGGTTTGCTGCCCGTTTATATATAATAGCTTGCCCTGCCAGTTTTGGTGGGGGTCTGGTTTCCTCCTTGGTGGTTCCTATCTGTTTCCTTCCTAGGTTTTCTATTGCCTCTTTTGAATGGCCGGTAAATGTGATTTATCTCTATGTGTCTACGGATGGTTGATCTGTTTTGAAGGAAACAAGACTAGGATGCATCCCCTCCAACAGCCAACACTTAGAGAAGCAGGGATCAACCCCAGACAAACAAAAAGGCAGAAAACAATACTCTAATCAAGGAACCCGCCAGGAGGAAACCACACCTCCACCAAAACTGGCAGGGCAAGTATAAACAGGCATGTATATACTGTTATTATAAAGTATACACTACTATATACTATACTATAAACCAGTTTCTCAACTTTGGCAACTTTAAGACCTGTGGACTTCAAC